TTCTCATGTTGACAATCTTTTTATTCTTTCATGTGATAATGAGATTCTCAGTCACTCACATGGTGGAAAATAGTTTATTTAGTAGGTAATATCTCTTCGTTTCTTTCTTCATTTTCCCTTTAATCTTTCATATCATCTGTCCCTCAACTGTCTGGACAAAGGTCTCCTATCATGCACCCACACATTGAGCCGGTTTAAAGACACAATTCTCTCAGCGTCTCGTCTCACACTCAGGAACTTAAATAAAAGCCTGTTACGTCTTTCTCTCAGTCCTGGTCAGAAGAAAAGTGCAAGGCATAGACGAGAGAAAATAAGTAATGGACCAATCCTGTTTTTTTTTTTGTTACAGTATGTGTTTGTTGGGAAACATCTGGACTCTGGATTGTGGGCAGCTGATGAATTTGCCGTACTCCCCAAACCGTTTAGGCCGGAGCTCACACCCACACGGGGGGGAGTGTGAGCGCTTGTGTCTGCCGCGCTGATAACGCACCTCAAATGTAGCGTTGGAAAATGTCTCCCCATCAGCCCGGTGTGGATGTGCGAGTCTGTGATACTCTGAATTAATGATGTGAGCCTAATCCGCCCTCTCACATGAATGACTGAGGAGGCAAAGTGCTGTCCGTGCAAGTCGGATATTTCCAAAACACAGATCGGTTGCCTAATCGAGACCCCTCTCAATGCTGTGTGTGCACATCTGTTAAGCCGTCTGGGTTAGGAATTCCTCTACAAAGCCACGAGAAACGTTTGTGCTAAAGCACTGTGACAGGTTACCGACAAACATGTGTCATGTCACTTGTGGGCATGCAGGCGACATTAGTGTCGGTGGTGAATCATTTAGTGAATTTGAGAAATATGTGAGAGGAAGTCCCAGATCGTCCCAATTCACACCAGCGGAATATCCGAAATACAAAGACAGTCTCTGTGTGGCGTCTGCAGCAGTTGCAGCCACTTAGTTTATCTCCTGGGATTGATGACAGATTGATATGTCCCCAGTGCCACGCTCATTAGGGACCAGGCAGCCATATATATCCTAATGATTCTGACTCACATCGCATGAGAGGCACAGCTCAAAGTCCCATAATGGGCCTCCGGGGACACTGTAGACCTCCAGATATCTCCTCTTTTTATCCACTTAGTGGGTCAGAAATTCCTATTTTGTGCGTTTTCTTCACTTCATTGATGCCTCAGGCCAACTAAAAGTAAGGCCAAAAAAAAAGGAAGGAGTGACAAGGTAGGTCTGATGAGCATTTTACCTTTTATGGTGTTTTTATTGGTTTGATCTGTGATGATTCAGCATAAATTGCTGGAGTAACACACACAGCAGGCACACAGTAAAGATAACACGAATGAGTAAGTTTTACCATCCCTAGAACTCCACCAGCATTCAGAGAGCAACAGGAAGCAGACAAGAACCAAGCAGCCAGCTAAATATAGTTCAATTGACTGACTATTCTCATGATGTGTACACACACACACGCACACACACACAATCTGTCTATCCATGCAATGAAACAAAATTGGGTCTGGGATCAATAATAAGGCATTCAATCTAGTCGCTGCCAATACCAAGAAACAACATTTTAATTAAGTTCCATTGCTTTTGATTTAAAAAGAACAAAATAGAAATGATAAGATGTGAAGAATTGAAAATGGATGGATAGATAGAAAGAGAGATGGCTAAAAATCCAGCTTGTCATCAAGTCTGTCATTGATCCAAACCTACAGTTCACGGGCAAGAGGCCAAAGGCAGCATCTCAGACTAATAAAACTCTGCCGGGCCAACCAGCAGCAGCCTTCTAATGAAGCTCCCGCGGTGTTACGCAAACAAGGCTGAAAATTGATGTTCCATCCAGGACAGCTAAAGCCGCTCCACGTTATCTCACCTCCATATTTTGTTTAAAGAGAACCAGGCTCCCATGGCTGAGAGGCTTTTACAATAAAATATGAATTCGGCTGGTGATTAAATCTGTCTGCGTTGGTTTGAGGAACTGAGGGTGATATATTTTGTACTTTTATCATTAAGGAGAGTCTTATCTGTATTTGTTTGACAATGTAAATCCCATGAAAAAGGAAAATAAAAATACACAGGCTCTCTGAAATGTATCAAATTAAATTAAATTTGATTTCCATAGCTCCACATCCCAACAGCAGTTAACTCACAGCGCTTTCTAAACAGAGCAGGTCAGACCGGACTCTGAAGTTATCAACAGAAACCCAACAATGCCCACCAAGAGCAAGCACTAGGCGACACAGGGAAGAAAAAACTTCCTTTTAACAGGCAGAAACCTGGAGCAGAACCATGGCTCAGGGCGGCCATCTGCCTCGACCGGTTGGGGGTGAAAGAGAGAGAGAGGGAGCAGTAACACACAGAAGTACTGACAAATAAAGGTAGCTTTACTATAGGCTGGACGAAAAATGGTCATGTAGATGGGGATGTGATGGTAACGTAGAAAACAGCGTCCCATTTGATAATTGTTCCGTCTCTTCTTCAGGGTTTACAGGCACTTGGCGTGCATTTAATTACGGAGTGGCATCATGTGTGTAAACAGTGCTGACGCAGTGTGGGGCCTCAAGGTCAGGAGAGCTTTCCTCAGCAGAATGTAAAATCCACCGGCCGTCCAACAGTCTCCTGAACTCCGGTTCGGGTAAAAGTGACGCTCCCACCAAGCACGCCGCTATTTGTTTTTTGCCTGTGGACTCACACTTAATGAGTAGATTTATTGGAACAGCGAAGCTCACAGAATCACAGCTTAATGATCCTTTATTTTCCGGTTGCCGCCGGCTGCTCTGCGTCGATGGAACATTGATTTGTTAAAATCCTCCGCATGCTGGAGCAGAAAGCCCGAAGAGGCCGGCGTACCTGTGAGAGGGCTGGGAAAAAACCAACCGGTCGATATGGACACGGGACCACGTGTGCAGCTGGAAACGTCTTATTCCAAACAGACATATGGTTTCCAAATGTAGAATAAAATCCAATGTGTAAAAATAAAAATGTAAATTAATTTCAGGATTTAGAGTTAGTTTAAAGTAAGTGAAACCAGGTTGATATCACATTATATTCTTTGTGAATTGACATCTCATTCGAGGTCGTCTTTACCAGCAGAGGATGCTCAAATATCAGAGCACATTCACACAGACTCCCACAGAATCACAATTTCTATAAATGTGATTTCTACTTTGCATTCTGTTTAAACACTTTCTCTGTGCAATGCTTGTGTTCATTAACTAACTATATTCAGAATTTAACTCATGACTTATAACTTTGACTTTAACCATTCTGAATTAGTTTCATTTTAGGACTTAAGTCAATTATTTCCACCGAAGGGTTGTTTGATTATTTGGAGACTTTACTGGAGGTTCCACGCAGCCACCGCTGAGACTAAATTAGACTTTTCAAGTCGAAGACAGTTTTCCATTTCCACTTTGCAATTTGAAGCCTCGCAAACCGTCCGCCGTGTCTTGTTTTCTATTCTTGTTTCATGACATTTTAACACATCAGAATTGAACCTTTCCGACAACCAGCTGCTTTAATGTCAGATCACACGCAGTGTGGCGGCAGGGTGTCACGAGGGTGGGTGTTGACGGGAGGACTCAGGTGCGGAGATGAGGGGAACAAGGTTTATTGAACAAAAACAGGGTGAATGTCCAGACAAAGTACAAAACAAAGCTGTGGCAAACTGTGGGCAAAGTAACAAAGCAATGAGCAAACAATACTGTGGCAAAAACTATGACTTGACAAAGTAACAAAATAAAGATAAACAAGACTATGACAAAACGTGACTATGACTGTGGCAGAACTGTGACGAAACAAACCTGGCGTGGGGGTGACGACGGACGAAAGGACAAGACAAGAACGACCCCGCACCAGACAAGGGGAAACGAGGACTATTTAAACACATGAGGGAGGGAAACCCCAGGTGTACACAATAGGTAATCAAGACAAGACATTCCCCCAGACGTGACACAGGGCAGGTGTTGAATCCCCCAAATGTCAGCAAAAAGGCAGCAAAGTGTGCCGAGCTAGTTCTAGTCCACATCCTCGGGGAAATTAATATTTTATCCACAACTCAGGCAACAAAGACATTTTTCTGCTCTGACAAAAGTGCTTTTTTTTTCAATTTAGTTCTTCGAAAACCAGCATTTCCGAACAAGTGTCCTGTGGTGCTGCTAATTGTTTTATTGTAGCCTACGTGTCGTCTTTTCAATTTATCAAGACTTCATTATGCTCAGTGAAAAATGTTTTATGATTTGTGTGTTTCTCAGAGTTAATGAAGCCTCTACTTTCATATTTTGTATTTTATAAGACATCTCGACAGGGAGCCTATGAGTCCCTAGAAGAATAGCTGTACAGAAGTTATTTCCACCTTTAAGATGTTAAATGCATCTTGGATGATTCATTTTCACAGCCTGGTCCATTTTTTTTCTTCTTCTTTTTGGCTGATCAAACAGCCTTGCAGTCAGACTGTGGATAGATGGAACAAACCTGTGGAGCAGATGTGGTTTTCAAACCCGGACCTGGGCCGAAACAGGGCCGAACTCATTCTGCTTTAAGTCAGACTCTTCTCAAAACACACAGATTATGACTTTGAGCCTCTAAAAAACACTGAATTGAAGACAGAGTGCTGATGCGTGTCATTTTTTTAGCTTTTCGGAGTTCTTCGGTGAACCTAACCATGACCTTTTAAGATGCCTGATCATTGAACTAACACCTTCAAAAAGAAACACAATTGTTACAAGTTAAGTGCACATTAAGCCAACTCAATTTCTAACACAAATCTTTTCTGAAAACTGAAGAAAAAAGTATCGAGCAGATCCTGGAAACGTTTGGACGTTGAGGGGCGGACAGAGACTTCCACAAGGGGGCGAGGGGCTGAGACCCCTGGCCCTCCGCGTCGTGTGCACGTGAGTGACGGGGGAATTCGCTCCCCGCGCGTGAGTGTGCGCGCGCGCGCGTGTTTGCAGCCGTGCTTAAGTACCTCGGACAGCGCCATGCGGCACAGACGCAACTGGCTGAGAGGCGCAACTTCCCCCGAGCGTTCCCTCATCCGGAGTCCGAGTTCCACCTCCGTGGCTTTAAAATAGTTTGTCGATCTCACCCTCACCTCGAGGAATTTTCTTGACTTCCTGTTTGACTTGGACCAAGCACTCTTTATTTCCCAGGTGGATGTGATGCGGTGAATCCGCCGTGCCTTCGGAACCAGAAGCGGTGGATTTGGGGTGGGGGGGCCGTTTGGTCGCCATCTGATCGCCTCCTCCCTGCTGGAGCTGGAGAGATGCCCGCGGCAGGATGTGCTCCAGCCGCAAGATCCTGTGGAGTCTGCTCCTGCTCTCCGTGGTGGAGGTCGGCCTGGGCGTGGCGAGCATCGTCCTGGGCGCGGTGGGCATCAGCTGGGTCCGGGGCGAGCACAAGCCGCAGCAGGGGGACGCCTCTCCGGTCTGGAGTGGACTCTGCGTAGGTTCCCCCCTTTTTCAGCACTTTTTCCTGCCTGTTTGTTTACCCCCTGGGAGGACAAGTGCGTCCAGCACCTTTTAATGAAGCCGTTTGCACAGCGTGTTTTTCAGCCTGCAGACTCTGAGCTCAGCCGCAAGTATTTCAATTCCATTAAGTCAACTTTATGTTAGAGAGTAGACACATATTCAGTTTTGCTTTGAAAGAAGCTTAGTTTTTTTGTTATGGACAGTTATGGAGGTCTGAAGCTTTTTTTAAGCGTGTCACATGAGTGCCTGGTTTTCAAACTTAAAAAGACTATTTGGGTTATTTTTCTTAAAAGAAAAGGATGTAAAAGAAATTCAAAATCAGAAGAAAAAGATGAAAGCGCAATCCACCCTAAAAATTCCTTCCTTTAAAAAAGGAAACATTTCTCTGTCATTTGAAACTGCTTTGTCTCGCCCTAAATTTTTAAGCAACTTGTGTGAAGTAAGCTGAGGTCTGAGAGCACTTTGTGTGCTACATGAAGATAATGTCAGACAGGCACTCGCACAGATATTTGGCCTCATTGGACCTTAAGATTGGTTCAATCTTGTCATGCTTGACTTGCTGCTCAGTGCTTGGGAGGGTCAAAGCTCTTAGGCACAATCATCTTCTCAGTAAAGTGCTGGACGACTCGTCTCATTACAGAGCCACTCACTGTCCTCATTGTGCTTCTGAAAAGGTAAAGATTCAGTTTACGATACATAGGTTTCCTAAATCTATTTCCTCATGGTTTTTCCTGTGACAGCTGTAAGACGCGTACCTTTTTCCAAATGTGACTTTAAGAAAAACTGTTAGGGGTTCAGTGTGCATGCTTTCACTGAGTTGTGTATGAAGGCGGTACTACACAATCATTTAGAGTCCCCACAAACTGTACTAAGTTTTAGATAATTACGTTTTCAAAGTTCCAAGAGTTTAAGCTTTATTCACAGTGGGCCTTTATGTCTATAGATAGTATGGCTTAATCTTGCTGCACTACTTTAGCCCAGATTTGACAAATTATTCACTGACACTATAGAGAGAGGACTTTTTTTTCATAGCAGGTAGAGTTTCTATTAAAGGTTTGCCAGAATATGATGAGTAATGGGATATTCATTTGCTTGCAATGTCCAACTTTTCCAGAAGATCTCCCTAAATGTTTCAACATTTTTTTCTGAATTAGAGTTCAGTTTAGCTTGACAGAAAATAATCACGAAATATTATTTCCCCAAAACAGAAAAGGCCATATTTTTTCAAAAACACCCTGAAATATAGATGAAAGCTCCCGAAGAAATAGAAATAAAAGACTTGGTGAATCGAGAGCCACATGTTTTGCTGAAAGCGGAGTTCTTGTTAAATGTTTCTGTTTTAATAAATGTGTTAAAAGTCACAACAGCCACTCCAATCACACAAGCTACCTTAACACACACGGCAGAACACACACATCCACTCTATTCTTCCTGCGACTTTTTGCTAAACAATGCATCTCACAGCTCACGGAGCTGCTCCATCATTAGGCCCCGTCCTGCCAGCCTGAGACACCCTGCTGTTCCAGCTCCGTCCTGCTCACTGACATCCAGGACAGCATGGCGCCATGCTATGGTGCACTATTTTTAGAGTGGAGAAAAATACGTGTTTCAGAGAGCGCAGTATAGAGCTCTGTTTAGTTTTGAATACTATCATCACGCTCAGAGTCACTTAACTCAGTTATCATCTGTCTCCCTCTCAAGTTCCTGCTCTGTGGGATGTGCGGAGTGCTCTGTGCTCGAAAGAGGACTGGTCTCATTGTGAGTACATGAATATACACTGTGTCATGATTCTGTCGGCGGGGTCTGGCCCCACAAGAATCCTCTTGTTCAGTCTAATATATTTCACTCATTCCTTGAGTAGTATACGATGCAAAAACCTGGAGTTTTTGCAGTAATGTAGGATGGAATGTTGATATGGTGTTGGATGCAAACATGTAAAAATGACAAGTTGGCACTGTCCAAAATTATTTAAAATTTGAGATAAAACGGTGATGAGCTGAATTTTTACAGAGCATAGGGCTAGGATGTTAGAGGAAACACTAGGACCTTGGGAAAGTATCAAAAGTTTGGGGGGAAAAAACACACACACACACACAATTCAACTAAATAATAGCAACAGTACCAGCATAAAAAGCTATTTCCACAAAATTGAACTGTTTAAAAATTTATGGGGTCCACCACATTTCCATTCAGCATTGATTTCAGTCACAGCAAAGCCACCCAAGATGAATTTCACCCAGATGTGCTTGTCTTTCACTGCTCATCCAAAGCCAGAATTTGAGACAAAGAGTAACAGTATCATCTTTCAAAATAGTCATCAATATATTTTATAATGGATGTTGTATTTTGTCTGTTAATCCACAACGAGTGTTATTCAATACAATAACCGATTTAATTTCTTGTCATCTATCTAAGTGCATGTGAATACATCTGAATGTTCAAATATTCACCTGTATTTATTGATAAATGAACATACAAACTATACAATATCTGTTGAGGGAAAGTAAAAACACCTAAACACCTAAAGTGCATGTGAATACATCTGAATTTTCAAATATTCACCTGTATTTATTGTTAAAATGAACATACAAACTATGCAATATCTGTAAAGGGAAAGTAAAAACACCTAAACACACAAAGCATGTGTGTGTTTGTCTCACAGGCAGGTGCTCACAGCTCGTTCTAAGAAAGACGCCTGAGGAAATCCGAGGAGACAGTCAGTCACCTCTCTTCCCTTTCTGTTGCTCTCTGTCTTTTTTTACAGTGTCTCAGTGTCTCCAGATCCTCGTGTTTCTCTTTGACTCTGTCTCCTGCAGGCAGGGCACTAATGATGGATCAATGTCAGTCCAACCCGCTGTAATGTAGACGTCCCTCCGTCTCATCCTACCTGTTCCCAGCCTTTGTCTTTCCTTTGTTTTCTTTCGTCTCTCCATTCCATCTATTCGCCTTTACCACTCACTCTCGTTCCTCCACCTGTCATTGTGATGCTTTCACTCTTTCCGTCTTCCTCTCCGCCTCTCTTTGCAGCCACTTCTCGCCCTCTCTGCCTGTGGGGGGGTGATTGCATTAGCTTGGTTTGGCTCCGGACCCCTGCCAGCCGCTCTCCACAATTCTTTGAGTAATGACTGAAATCGGAGATGCCCTTTTCCATGCGGTTAAGGGGCTCTAACGGCATTTGTACTGGGAGCATTGAGTGAATACCTGCAGTACCGAAGTAATACACACACATATCTGCCCAGTGAATGGGAGGTAGAATGGCATCTTTCTATTCTGATGGCAGAGTAAAGAAGCTACAGTCATTTACCAACACAATGCACATGGGAAATTCCTCGATTCTCAAATTGTGTTAGACTTTTCCTTTTGCTGATTTAAGATCAAAGACAGGTCAAATTTAGCATGTGATGGATTTAACCCTCACAAAGTGTATACAGAATTACAGTCAGTGAGTGATGCAAGCTATATACAAGCTGTGCAATTTCTCTTGGAGAGAGACAGTTTCCTTTGGAGAAGCATGTAATTTTCTGATGGGAAATATGAGGTATTTTGAGCTCATAAAATGAGCACTACTCATCACCGTAGCTGTCATTTCAAATGGCTAAATGATGGGAATAGAAACCCCGCAGCAGGGTATATATCTCCTGCCTCATCTTATTTTATCCGTTTGTTTACAGTTCTGATGATGTGGATATCAAATTAACCGTTCGTCAACGTAAACATCTCTCTGTATTTTTGTCTGTGTGTGTCTCCCAGATGATCCTCTTCTCAGCATGCTGCATATGCGGTTTGATTGGTGGGATTCTCAATTTCCAGTTCGTACGGGCACTGAATAAACGGCCTAACTCCATGCATTCGATCCACCTGGCTGCCATGACTCTGGCCTGTCTAGGTAAACGAACAACAAACCCAACCCTCTGTCTCTTCCAGTGTAGAAATTGGAAGGAACTGAACAATTGTTGATGCTAATCACATTTCTCCTACATTTATCTATGTTAGCTCAAAGAAGAAATTGTTTAGTTTAGTCACGCAAACTGTCAGGTGATGGTGCAAACCACCATTGTGCAGCTCCATTTTGAAATGATAAGATAAAAAAGCTAATATGCTTCAATTAGCATTTTCACTGTGCTATGAAGTCTAACGCACAACATAACACTCTTACAAAATTTGTGACACAATATAATGTGATCTTTTCAAATATTTCCATAAGATCAAGTTGAAAAATGGGAAGAAGTTAGCTGAGTCTTTAAGCTGTGTGCTCAGGGTTATGTTGTTTTTTTTCTTCTGTTGACAACATCCCCTGTCTTGCCCAGGAATCTCATCCTGTACGTTGTCCACATGGCTAACGTGTCGACTGGCCAGCTCCGAGCAGCAGAGGATGTTCCTGGAGAGGGAACACTCACTGCACCATTCACATGAGATGACAGAGAAGGTGAGACCGAAAAACAAATCTCCAGATGATTTTGGGGACAGAAAATGCACAATATCAAAAGTTACTTGTCCTTTCCAGGAAATCCTTGACAACTCAAGCAATGGGATTCCTCAGATTTCCTACAATGGACACACTACAGCATCTCCTTGATCTCTCACTGGAAACTTCCCTTTGGAAACTTCGTCTTTTTTTCTTTGCTGCTTCCAGCAGGAGACGGACATCATAAGGAAAGCTTTCATGCTTCTTAATAATTATGCAAACGTGGACTCAGAGACCTTCGGTACAACTCAAACCGAAGCCAGGATGGTGAACTGCTGTTGATGAAACAAATCAGGTAAAAATCCTCTCTGTGTGGGATCCTAACACTAACGAGCAGGATGATGGATCTCATCTAGTCGGCGTCCTTGGCAACATGAGCACAAACTTTGCATGAAACTGACTTTTTTTTTAAACTTATATTTAAATCTTGTTGTCCTTATTCTTTGTTTATGGAATGCAGACCGAGATAGCCAATGGTAGACTAGATGTATTGTCTGATAATGGAATGCTTTGACATGAAAATACAGTGACGTGCAATGTATTCTACGGTATACCCATGCTTGTATATCAGGTATCTATAAAATCAAACATATTTTTATATAATGCTTCTTATAAAGTTGATTCAAATAAAGTACGGCTTATCTGAGAGGTGGACTGGGATTAACTGTGTCAATACTCATTCATTTTTTTCAATTTGAGAATATCTGAAATGTATTTAAACTAAGAATGCAGAATATTAACTCAAAACGAAAATCAGAAATGTATATGTTGGTATGGGTATGAAGGAATTTTTGAAGGCTTTGGTTTGAGAGACTTATAAAATTAAATTTGCAACAGCTTGCGCATCATACGGTGGATACAGTATTTTAAGAGGTAAAAGCATTCCTATGGGACGGCAGCTTAACGCAGGGATGCTGCTGGCTCTGTTCAGAGTTCCCACCGTCATCGTAAAGCCAACAGATGAAGTAAATCTGCATTTTATGGTTTCTCTCAAGCCTAGATGTTTCGAAGGGGCTGCGGGCAGCAAAAGGAGACGGCGCTATAAAAAGCAGCATCTTCTACCTTCTCATGCATGCTCAGAGACACAGCTGTGACCCCCTGTGCAGATACGGAATCGCCGTGACAACGTCATGCTGCTCGGTACTTAATTACGGGGTACGTCTACTGCAGAAGGCCCCAAGCAGGGGTGTTTGTGCATTTATCTTTGGGTCAAGTGCGGCCCGAAACAGCAGAAGCTGTCGGGAGCTCTTGCTGACTAAGAAAACATGTCACTATCTATCACCATGACAACAGACAGGAGTGGGGCCATGGCGCCCTGGAGAGATCCAGATATGCTTCCCCCCCCCCCCCCCCCCTCTGTGAGTGTAATGTGGAGAGAAATGCTGAATCATGTGACCTCCTGTGGTGCTGCTGTCTCAGAAAACAGTAACACTAGACAGTCTGTGTGCGGCAGGATATTTTCTGCTCATGCATCGGTGCATGTTTGGATCCACGACAGCCAGTGAGTGGGGACTAAATGCTCCAGCTGACACCTCAGGTCACCCTAATGATCTTAATGTGACACTGCTCTAAGAAGAGGATCCAGAATCAATGAGAATTCTTGCCAGGCTTGTCAGTGCAGAGCTGTAAGATTACATAACAAAGGGCATGTTAGTATGCACTTGGTGTTTTTTCTACTTTGGAGGCTAAGGTGAAAATTAAAGATCGTGATAAAGTTATTTTCCCTACCAAAGTATTGGATCATGGAGTATTTACAAAGGGTGATTTCGAACTGATAGAGGAGGCTGATAATCCCAAATGGAGCAGTAAAATCAAACAAACTATTCCAAGTTGATGTTACAACAAATTTATTTTATTTTTTTAAGTTTTACCGTATATATTTCATGTCCTATTTAGGCAACTCAGCATGGACTCAGATAATAGAAAAAACAAGATAAATATGTTTTCTTTGTTTTCATATATGCCAGTTAATGAATTTCAAAAGTCTAGAGTTATTTAGCAAACGTGACATAAACAATTATTGTTCCGTTTCATTCTTCCTCCTGCCCAGCAGGGGGCAGCATAACGATACCGCTAAAACACGTCTTTTCAACGGAAGACATCTTGTTTGTCTTCCGGTCTGAGTTAAAAAACATGGCGGAGGACGCGCATGCTGAAAACGGGCCGAAACACGTGAAAATGTCCGGTGGTGACCCCGCAGGCCCCGTCGTTGTCAGCCCGGACCAGGAGACCCCCGCGGCGGACGGAGCCGCCGCCGAGGTCCCGTGCGCCATTCCGTCGTTCGCCGCGGCCTCGGAGCTCGTGCCGGCGGCGTACTCGTGTCTGGTCACGAGCGCGCACCGGCGACACGTCGCCCTGCCGCCGGTGTATCTGAACAAGAAGAAGACGGGCATTAAAGAGGAGCTGGAAGGCGAGCTGCTCAAGTACTCCCAGAGGTACCAACACAAATAGGACTTTGTGTATATATATTTTATGTGTCGGTTTTTGGATATGTGTGGTGTCACGGAGCAGTCACGGTCCCATGTTTTTGTACGTTAAACGTGTTTAACCAGGAGTTTCCAACCTTTTTTTCTTATTTAGCTAAGTAAACACGGGCCTTTAGTCTTGATAGAAGTATATGTGACATTCAGATATAACTTAATGGCACATTCAGCTCGTGACATTTCCAAACTAACTGCCTAGCTACGGACTATTTTGATTAAATCGTGTCTGGCCCACTTTGCTCAGCTTGCAGTTTGTCTCTTTACAGGCTGAATGGAGTGCCCTTGGCTTATGACAGCATCAAGATCGTGGGAAAACACGGGAATATCCACGATGATAGCGGATACATCCACATGGACATAGAAGCCAACTTTATTATATTTCAGCCCCGAAAGGGACAGAAACTCCTGGTGAGTTCAGTCCCCGGTGAGGACCTTCCTCGTGACCAAGTTTGAAAAAAATCCACCACAGGATCTCCGCAAACCTGGGCTGTTTGTCTCCCACAGGGGAGAGTGAATAAGCTGGGAGTGAGCCACGTGGGCTGCCTGGTGCACGGCTGCTTCAACGCCAGCATACCCAAACCCGGCCTGGTCTCCGTGGAGACCTGGAGGGACGCCGGGCCCCGGATCGGGGCCGAGCTGGAGTTCGAGGTGACCACGCTGGACGCTGACGCTGCGGGGGTGCTGCTGATCCGAGGACGACTGGAGAGGACCAGGTCAGTGTGGCGGTGCCCCGTTAACAGCCTTTAAAGCCCCCTTTTTAACATTTCCTTTAAATCATACTATCATTTGCCCTAAAAACGTGAGCAAATGATGGCAATTGGCTCCCTGGTGAACCTAATCAGAGCTTGCCTGCTGCCACTTGGGGGCAGCGTCAGATCTTTTAGGCTTTATGTTTTTCTGGGAAGTCCTAGTGGACAAACCTCTTTCAGACAAGCTCTCTGCCGTCATTATTTATGCTTTTTTTCCTCTCTGTGGAGCGGAGTTTCAGCTCAGCAGCGACGTCTTTCCACTCTGGCCTCAAAGCCAGGGTTGTTGGAACGACGTGTAGCTCTGCCTCGTCGGTGGAAGTTTAGTTTGAGACGTCGTCTTTCTGTCAGGAAAGGAGAGTTACAGACTAGTGAAAAACCGTGGACAACAGCTGCTTCACGCTGAGGAACCAAAAGTCCCAAAGTCTGATGATCAAATTGTGAAAAAATAACTGCCTTTTTTTCTACCACTACTCTAGTTTAGGGCTTTCAAATCTACATTTAAGTCATTTCTTTGTGCAGTAGTGGCAGATTTAAGTAATAGTGTGTGTTCACGCCCCTGGCTCATGGGTTCTTGTCCTTTTTGTCATTTAGGGTGCAGGAGCTTCTTTCAATTGGTGAGAGCTCAGAGTTGAGCAGTCCAACAGATCAGCCAGAAGGGCCAGTCGCAGAGCTCCCCGAGAATCCTCCCGACGACCCCCCCAGGAAAAAGAAGAAAAAGAAAAAGGACAAAGTCAAAGAAGAGGAGATGGAAGAGGAAATAAAACGGTCGCCTCCCGACCAGCCGGACTGCGACGCAGCCGCAGAGCCCACTGAGACAAATGGCTCAGAACCCAGTGAGAGGAAAAAAAAGAAGAAGAAGAAAAAGGAAAAGGAGAAAGACGTAAAAGAAGAGGAACAGGACATGGAGGTGTGTCATGTGGAGATCCAGGGCAGCGACTCCAGCGGTTACTTCAGTGACAAGCCGAGCAAGAAAAGGAAGCACGACAGCAGCGGCCTGACGGATGCCACCCCGACAAAGTCCAAGAAGAGGAAAGGAGACGTCGAGCAATTCGCCTGAACGAGGAGAAAAAGAGCAGGAAACCCGTCGACCTGCACGGGACGTCTGAGGCCGGCCTCTGTGACGGTCGACGCATTTTAAAGGGCAGGATCTCTGACTCCTGACGGGCTCAGTGGGGACCGATGAGCAGCCGTGCCAGAGCCCCCCCCTCAATGGATTGTGATTCCAGTCCGCTGCCTGATGGTGGAGCAAAACCACCTCACATCAGCACCAGCACACAGACAGTCAGACGGTTGCGGGAGGCTTTCACTTGGAGCCTAAAAAGACTGATACTCACCGCAGAGAGGTTTGCTTCTTACGCCTCCTTCAGTCCCAAACGAGCGGCCTTCATAAGGGCGGTTTTACGGGTCCTCCGGCGAACGGTCACTCGCTTCCTGTGATTGTTTTGATAGGTCTGACCGAGAGGCGGTGAAATATGAGATCAATATTTCATCCTCGTCGACCCAAAGAGTTTTTGTCCCCTGTCATCATCCAGAAGAGAAGTAATTAAAAAGTTCTTAAAAACCGTCAAGATTCAGAAGTTGTCTCAGATTTCTCTTTAAAAAAAAAAAATCTTTTATGTTTATTGTTTTCTATGGAAAAGAAATCCATTAGAAACTCTAAGGAAAACCAGTGGGTGTCAAGTGATGAAGTGCCGACAGCACTAAGGATCACTGTTTTCTTTACCCTGCCTCCACACACACACACACACACACACACACACACACACACAGATCCCCCGGCCTTTCAGTGGGGAGTCTAATTAGCTGTTGGGTGCTAAGAGCTGGGGAGCTTATCGGAAGCTGCCGGGAACAGAGCAGATAAGGAGCTTCATTAAACTCTCCTCCCCTTCATCTGTAATACCTGACATTTAATCGTAGCGCCAAACTGGAGCTCGCTCACACACACACACACACACGCGTGTCCAATACTTTTCCCTTTGAGATCTTATTTTTCTTAGTTTTGCCAAATTCCCACATAAGTGGATTCTGCCAAACTGAGCAATGAGGTCTGTCTCCACTGATCCTATGGCTCACTTTAAGAGGCTGGAAGCTGTCGTATAGAATAATTTTTCTCTGGATTACGGCCTCATGCTAAATGCATGAAGCGGTCAGATGATCGAACTATCTTCCAGCACCCGTCCCGTTTCCTGTCAGCTGCTGGGGAAAAAGGGCCTTTTCTAGTCGTTTCAACATCTGAAAGAGAGGTCAGATGCTGAAACAGAAACTCCAATAGTGTTACTACATTTCTGACACGAAATTTAAGAAAGGAGCAAAAAAGATACCTGAAAGATCGACGATACCTCCCCATCTGTAACTTCTAAAACTAAAGAAAGGTTTTATGACCCAGATGAATGGAAACCTGAAGGCTGTCATTGTTCCAGGTGCTGACTGGGACCACTCTGAAAGAGACCAGAGGGAAAAGAATTCAACAATGCAGGAATAACTTGAAATAAAAATAAATACAAAGAGGTGTGACCTCTTATCACAAGGATTAAATTAAAGGTTTAAATGAACACATTCATACAGTCAAATGGAAGAATCGGCTCAAGAAGCGTCAGTGTTTGAGAAATGTTTGCTAATCACATGTTTCTTTCAATTCTTCCAACGCTCATGTTCGAACACCAGCTGTTAACACACATTTTTATCATTCGCCTAAAGGAGCAGGAACTCCCTTTAGGGCATCTTTGATAAAGCGTTCATGTGGTCATCGCTGTTGGTTCCCAGAATGTTGAGAATCACCTCAAATTACGCAACAGCAACATAACAGAAAACATTTCAAACCGTCGTCTTCCGATCTCGTGACGCTTCGGTGTAATTCGTCCCCCCGTGACCTCCGTCATGCCTTATCGCTCTCATTTGCCCAATCGCTGGCCCGGCCCCCGGTGCACCTGTACCCCCTCCCTCCCGCTCTCCCATTCATCTTGTCATCCCTCCCGACACTCCCCTCACGCCGGCCGCCCTCCTTCCCCTTTTCCTGCTTTCCCTCTCCTCCCGCGCCTCCTCCTACTTGTCTCCCTGATTTATAGGAGGCGGTGTGCAGTTCACACACATTCCACTTCTGACATCCACCCCCTCCTTCGAGTGGACTCTCGTATCTACGCACGGTCGTTTATCTTCATGATCCTCCTATGGAGAGAGGAGGAGGGAGGGCTGGAGGGAGCAGACGCCGGGAGTGTTTGGTTGAGCCTCCGTCTGCCTCGACGGGAGCCCTATCTGCTGTGCGACTAGGTTGGCCGTGGGTCTCTATCTTTTGTGTCAAAGTTTCCAGGCCCAACGGCTCCTACATTAAAGGGCCTGACGCAATTCTCCAGGTTCCGGACACACTCACATAACAACCCATGACACACATTCGCTGGATCTCTCGCTCTTTCACTCATGCGTAGATATCCCCAACCCACAATCCGCAAATCCCCATCCTCACACACCCCTACTGGCCAGGCCTAATTAGTTATGTGGTCGGCCCTCCGCTCCATCCCAGAGCCCCAAATGGCAGCAGGTCATAAAAGCTTAAGTGTTCCACCAGTCAGAGGCGCGCAACTGCGGCCGTATATCCTCTCAACGCAGCCCGGGCCAGAGTCGCCTCGCACTGAGGCCCGTCTCTCACCGGCCAGCTGACATCTATGAAATCTCTTTGAGGCTTTTTCAAAGGGTGTTTCGGTGAGAGTTTCTTGGCGCTCCAGCCTCGCGTCTCTGTTTCTGACGCTCAACTGGAGTCGACTAGGACTTTTTTCAAAGGCTCTGTTTCCGAACTTTTTCAAAGGCGCACGTGCACACACCGGTAACCCCGAAAGTAAACGCTGAGCCGGGGTTCCCATAGCCGGTTGGTTCCCAGGGCGCCCGACGCCCCAAGGCCCCCACCTCGGTAACCCTGGCGACGGCGGGTGTGGTGCTCCCCAGTGACACGCTCAACTCCGGGGAACTGGGTTTGGAGTGTGTATGTCCATGACCTTTTTATTGTCCAGGTGATACTTCTCATACTCATCAGTCAATATGCTGAGGAAGGTTTTCGGTAATCGCAACAGGGTTCGATTATCCGCTGTCCTCTCCGTGTTACCGTCTGCACGGGGACAAAGGAAAGTAAGAGGCTCGCTCTCGCATTTCGGTATCCATTTGTTCACCAGATCCAAACCACTCTGATGTCCGAAGCTGTAGCTCCACTTTTAAAACTCAACCTCTCAGTGAAATTAGACTAAACTATTACTCTGGACCTCAACAGTCTTATGGCCCTGAACCCACCGGGGGCCATGCAGACCAGCATGTTGCAGGCCGTGCAGGGGGGGGGGGGGGGGGGACCCCTCACCTCCAGTTTCTTCTTAGTTTTTCCACCAGCTAACTACACTTTCTCCTCTTTGCAGGGACTTTTAAGGAAATGATGTATGCGGTGAATTCCAGCTTCAGGATTTCATCTGATAAAGATGATAAGTCAGAAATGATAATTAGAAGATTGCTTAACACTACTGACCCTAGCTTCTCATTACATGGTATCATATTTATACACAATTTTGTACCTTCTTGGTAAGAGCTGGAGAGTGATTTTTCTGTTTCTAAATAATCCTTATGAGCAGATATCAGTCTTTGTGAATCAGGCTGTCTTCCCACAGATGCCATCATATTCCATCTGAGTAGTACCTGAGTTTGATGCCAGGTTTTTACCTCGTCTCTTTGAGTTCTCGAGGAGCTCACTGCTGACCTGCTGCTGGCAAAGATTGGGGCCAGTTATAAAAGTAACACCCATGTGGACCACGCCTATCTGGAGGTTTGCACTTTTCTGTGAGTATGTGTGTTTTCGTCTTTTCTGGGCAGTCAGCGGAGTGAGATTAATAATGTTAGGTATAATCAGGGGGTAACGGGAGGCTCTTAGCTGTCTAGACAATGTTCAGCCCAAACTGTAACTCCTACTCTGAAAACAACGAGGAAAAATGGCAAAGAAAGGACAAAAGGTTAGAAAAAATAATCTTCGGGTTAGTCTTTTAATCTTAATTGTTCTATCATAACATCATCTGCAGGGACATAGCTTATGAGCGAGAATAGATCAAATGAGCCCAGAAGGATCATAGGGGCAAACTAAACTATGATGTATTGTTGAACAACAAGCCAATGGAAAAAAATAATGCGTTTTTTTTGTCACTCCTAGTACATTTAAATGGGGGGAAAAAGCAGCAAAGTGCAGAGCAGTGTGAGGCAGGGGATAAGGAGAGGAACACACACGCTGTATGTCATCAGACCTGTAGCCACAGCCTCCCAAAACCACAGAAGAATAAATATGCCAAAGAGGGGGGAGAAAAAAAAGAAAAAAAAAGAGCACTGGAAAAAATGATCTCACACTTGATCATGTAGCTTTACAGGACAATACCCGGGGCACAAGTAAATATTTTATGGTCGTAGTTTTATGACGACCCTGTCAAACTGCAGGGCAGAGTGGATGGCACCTATGGGCGAAGCACACGGATGAAAAGAAACCTGGGTGGCCGACACTGCCGCCGATAATGTGTACGATAGAGTGGATTTCTGGAAAAGCACTTATAAAGTCGTTGACAGGAAGATGAAAGGAGCCCCTTCGTTCGGAGAACCAATGGCTGACTCAGAAAGGGGACTAATTCTAATGACCAAAGAGGAAACATAACAAATACCTTAAAAGTTAGATGTTAAGATTTAGAAAATATTCTTTGATTCGTCATGATGGTCAGCCTGTGCCACAGGTGCACCGTAAGCTAGCATAAAGCATAAATGGTCTTCTTCAGGTGCCGCTAGTTTTGTCGTTTTACTTTTCTTTTGAGTACGCATGAAGCTCTTATGATATTTTCCGAGGGTGACAAGGAAATGGGGAAAACTACAAATCCCCTACTTCATCAGTTTGCCTTTAACCTGCCGAGACGTGTGTTTGTACACAGTCTGAGAAAAGCTCTTCGGCTGTTTGGATTACTCAAACGAGAGGTGTTAGACACACGTACAGGAAGTGTGATTGCATGTAATGGTTTGCTGAATGCGATTGCCTCGACTTTTTTTTCACGTTTCCTCCATAAAACTTAGACTGTATATAAAAGATGGACGTAGCACCGTGACATCACCCGCTGGTTTGTGGAAAACCATTTTAAAGCATTGGGTTTTTCACTTCATTTCTGGAGCCAGCAGTGAGAGCAGTGAGCTGGGTGGAGCTAAAAAATGAGCAAACGCTCTCAACAGGGTTCTAGTGAAAGCATAGAAGTTTTTGGTAGCATCCCATTTTCTTTCTAAGAATGTTATTCACAGCTTTATCTGAGAGGGAAGCTGGTCTACAAAAACAAAACCTGCTGTCTTGGCTTCCCAGTGTTGTGTTTTGTTGGGGTTCGTCCAATAAAAAAAGCAGATCTGTGTTTCCTAAATGACTGCCTTCAGAATCAGAATCACTTTATTTCCCAGTTTAAAAAAAAACATTTTACAGGCCTGGGAAATTCCTGTGGTGAGTGGTGCAAAAAACACTACCGTAAAGAAAAAAGGAGGTAGTTATTTGATTGACTGTTTTTATACACAAACAGATACCAACTGGCATGATGTATAGGTGCAGGGGTAGTCAGTTATTGGACAAACAAAGTGTGTCCGGGGCACCCGGAAAATGGAATTACACGAAGTCAGGTTACAGAATCTGAACAACACCAACATACTTTGTGTGCCAGAAAATCCGGTGTATTGTGAGGTTAAGACTAGCGAGCACAAACAGCTTCTAAATCTTTGTGATTGTGCCTCATATTTAACATGCGGGATTTAAACAAGTTTTTTTTTTATTTGTTTAGTTTCAACCAAAAAAGTAGACTGAGTTCAAAGCCAAGAGCGATCCAACTGTAATCAGACTTTTGGTGGGTTTGAACATCAATTACGAGCAGAAGATTGTCTTCATCAAACCTGTCCACATCCATCGGCGCAGCACGGATAAACAGACGGTCAGTAAACAACCCACAAAGCCATTCCACATCTCCTCTCCGGTTGTTAGGACTGCACCACCACACGTCGCCACACACACACTCAAACGTAGATATGGACTCACATGAAGAAATCGGCCATGTTGTTGTGGCTGGTAATCAGTTTCAGGGAAGAGCTGTCAGAAATAAGAAATCCAGCTGGTAAAGTAAACATTCCCGTGTTTGTTTGAGAACTGTTTCTCTTCACTGCTCTCTATATATTCAAAGCTTGCTAGATGTTTTTCTATCACAGCCGGTACTGTGTTTACTAGGGAAATCCTCATTTTTGTGGAAAACCTGTGGCAATTTATTTTCCGTAGACATTCTCAGCGTGCAAGCACACAACGAAAAAAAAAAAACGAATGAAGTGAACAGTCAGAAAATGCTAAACCGATCCGGCTACTACCTTTCCTCATCTCCGTTATCGTCACCTCATTTAGATGTGTAATCAGTCCCTGAGAAAACTCAGGGGCCGAGAATACGACTCTCAAGGTAAATGAAACACGGCACCCCGAAAGTACACAGTAAAGAGTGGCAGACCCTCTTTCAGAAAATAAACACAGCTCAGACTTAGCCGAGGGTGGGGGGGGGGGGGGGGGGTTGACTCAGTGCAAGGTGCTGACACGGATGAGGGGGAGCTGAGGAGCCGCGTGGTGATATTCTCAGCAAGGTTGGATTAAATTTAGGAGGGCTTTTCAGAAAAGAAGAAACCGAAGGCATGCAGCGGTTTTTGGCAAACGGGAGGGTGTGTGCGCTCGTCTGGGGGTAGGGGGGGGGGCCGGGGGGAGATATATGATGTGGTATTGGAGATTGTCCAAGTCTTGAGCCAGATCTTTCACATGGCCATCCAGCTGTGTAAACAGCCCACAACCGGTTGCTGACAAGGGCCTCCCGCCAATCGCAGCACAAGATGCAGGAGTAGGTGGGACAAATGGACCAATGAACAAGCTTTAAGCAGAGGAGGAAGGAAAGAAGAGAAGAATCAGAGTGACACAATGAGGAAGAGCCTGATAGGTCAGGAGTTAAACACATCTTCTTTACTCCCTCTGTCTCCCTTCAACTCCCTCTTTCTCAAAGGTTCAGACTCAAATTGGAGCTAATTACATGACAAGCTGTTTACAAGTTTAGAGCTTTTAAGTGCAAGAATAATCTTCTAATCAACACACGAGAAGATCGGCTTTTTTTGCGTTTGCTTGGCAAACAGCCGGGGATTTTTTATTTCAAACATCAAAGATAAATACTGAGATGGAGGGCGGGAAGTTGAAAACGCATCATAAAAGAGAAGCAGAGGAGGGTCCAGCATCAGGCTGCGAGAGAGAAGGAACAAGAACCAGACACTCCTCCCTCATGTCAGATTTACAGTAGAGGTGGTCGGCGAAATTTTGGCCGTGCTCTGAAAACACACCGAGGCCAGAGCCAGAGGAGGAGCAGGAAAACAGATTTGCATGGTGAGAACAGCTCTGGCAGCCCTGCAGCAGCACACGGGACACACGCTGTTCCCGAGTGATCTCTATATTAAAACATAACAACAACAGCTACTACTAAAACCAAACACTAAAAAATTCCTCCGTATATTTATTTGTATACTGGCAAACATTGCATCTAGTCTTACACACACACTTACACATTCATGTTCATTGTTAGATCCTTTACATGGATTTTTGCATTTAATTCTTTACACAGAGTGGGCATAAATGGTCTTTGAACTCACTTTGTGTAACTTATTACAGGGATTTCTGAGTCCTGCTGTGTTTTAGATTGTTAAACTTCCACTGTATACCCCCGTAAAAAATAGTGGCATCACAAGCCATCATTAATTTCCCTCTGCTAAACCAGTAATAAGAGAGCAGGGCAGGAAATGAGCCATTATGAGTGTCTGTGCGAAGGTCTCTCCTCACCGAAACTGGGATAAACCCCTGTAGGTGTATGTGTCGCCATGACTCTGTTTGTGTGCCTTCTTTTGGGGTTTTACTCCTTATTTAAGACCAATATTTACTAAGTAGCCCCAGGGTGAGATTACCTCATATTCTCCCACCCAGCTGTGCTTTCTCAGCGTTTCCACGACAACCAGAGGAATGTCCCATCATGTTTATCTGCCTGCCAGGAAAACAGAGTGAGGAGAAGGAGAAGCTAAGGGGAGATGGAGAAGAAACACTCAGGCAGTGGTGTGTACATGACATGCACTTGTGCGTTTCCACTCATTTATTTGAAACAGTTCCTCAAAAATGAAGAAAGTGCTTACAAGTGGAAAAAGACAGAGGGCAACCTGTTAGCTTAAAAAGAATTGTGGCCACAAAGCTACTGTCCACTAATGATGGTATTATTGTGGTTTGCTATGACTGGTCAAACAGTTTGTTATGGAACAGACAACTTTTATGAGACATATGGAAACTTTAAATATTCATAATCAGTCAAGGCAGCACAACTATTAAGTATTCAAACAACTTTTTTGCATAATATCAGAGCTCCTACGTTCAATTAACTTAGTAGCTGGTTTACAGGTATGGAAATAAATCTGTGCATTCTGTCTGTGAAAACTTAAAACTAAAAAACTGCGTAAAACAAACAAAGAGCTTCTGAAGAGAGAGTCTTCCTATGTGCCAAGACCAACCAAGAAGGGCTGCACAGCAACCGAGCCTACAGAACCAAAGTGTTTGATTAGAAGGTACACAATTAAAGCCAGAGAACAGGCAGTAAAAGGGGTGGAAGTATCATAATACTCATGATTGTTTTATCTGCCTTTGCCTGGACGTGAATGTTTAAAAGTATTGATGAAAATCAAGAGGGTTACCAAGCAATAAGTAGCCCATATTATAAAAACTGGCTTTGGGTGACTGGCCAACTGCACTATTCACCAAAAATAACTAAAAGCGTTTTGTCTTGGCATGCATTGATATGAAAGCGTTTAGAAAAAAAGAATTCATTAAAAAAAAACTAAAACTTGTCAGGTGAACACGATTTTGATTATCCCAATCGACGCTTATGAGCTTATGAGGACCAGCTTTTTACCTCCTAACAACAAAACTCAGCCTTTCCATTGAGCCCAGCAGAGCCAAACATCTCCGGCCCAAAATGCTGTTATTTGAAAAAAACGCGAACATGTGGAGTAACCACCTACAATTTTCGTAATTGTGATGACCAGGGATTAAGGCCCACAGTCGCACCACAGTGCCTGCAGTGTGTAGGTCTTGCCATGGGAACCGACAGCTATTTGCTTTGATTTGCAACAGAAAAGCTTGTGGTGTGTGTGAAGACTCTTGGAGAATGTTCTGTTTGGTCTTCTCCGAGCGGTTTTAAGTGTCTAAAGTATCATTATTTAGCCTCTGAGGCTGAGGGGAGAGTGCAAACAAGACAGTGTGACCTTCTGTCAAGAGCCTCCGTTCTTCAGAAGCTCATTAAGGGCATCCAGGAGGACAGCACATCAATTGGCGGGGCCCTCCCGTTTCCTCACGGCCCTTTAAAGCCCCACTAAACCCACTCACAGCCCGACGAACGGCAGAAATAGACTCAATTTAGAGTCAGAGGGAGCATGAAAGATGTCGCGCTGTGAGGTGGTGTAGGCAACTTATTAAAACAGCGGGAAAGACCTTTGGACTCGGGCCCAATAGGATCTCACCATGTCGTGCGCTGATCGGATTTTGGAAAAAGTTGGATGCACTTGTCGTGATGCTGTTCTGCTTCGTCTCTGAACAGTGACCGGTTTGATTGGCTTGACTTTTTTTTTTCATTTGGGTGAATTGCTTTCCTACAAAAGTGGCATTTATGCGCAAATGCAATTACGAGCTGACCATGGAGATGCAAGCACACTTACAGGATTCCACTTTGGTACATTGTCTCAGTGATATTAACCTGATGGAGTTTTCGCAAAAGTACGCTCTGGCTCCAGCTGAGGACACTGATGAGAGTTCCTCCTACCTAAGCGACTCGTCTTGGAGCAGGGACCTGCGGGACGACGTGCGCACTGCGCAGCTTCTCACCCCGGACCTGGTGACGGGCTCACCGGGGTACTACGGCCGCCACGCCAAGTCCAAACGGAGGAGGATCATCACCGTCGTCCAGCGGCAGGCAGCCAACGTCCGGGAGAGAAAGCGGATGTTTAGCCTGAACGAAGCCTTCGACGAGCTGAGGAGAAAGGTGCCCACGTTCGCCTATGAAAAAAGACTGTCCCGGATCGAAACACTGCGCCTGGCCATCGTCTACATCTCCTTCATGACGGACCTGCTGGAGAACACCTGAGACAGAGGAGAGAACTGAGCTGTTAGATGTGCCACTGATTCCAGCAACAGGTGATGGAACAGGTGAACTGCGTTAGGTCGACTTGCGGTAGCCTACATTTGTATCATGTTTTAACTAAAGGGGCTGAAGAAATCCAAATAACAAGACGGCTACAAAAGTCTCCAAACCTTGTTGGGTGTTTGAATAACGTTGATGAGAAATATAGTGACCATCACAGAAGATTTTGTTGTTTTGTTTTTGGCTGAAACATGTTTTTCTTTACATTATTTCCAAACGTTGATGCTTTATAGGCTATATGTGACCTAATGTTGCCAACAATAAATAAATAAGTCAACACTTTAAAAGTAGTTTAAGTCGATAATTGTGAATATTGGATCACATCAATTTACCACGTGATTTATTTGTGTTCGTTTTGAAGTAGATGGTCCAACTGAGTTAATTATGAAAGTATTATGGTTTTATGGACTGCTAACGCTACCCTACTTATACTGAGGTATCCACGTGAGGCCTTTGGTAGAACAGCTGTGTTTCAGCACCTCGGAGAGCGACGGAAGCCTCACCTGCTGGACCGAAACAGGTGAGGCCACAAGGGCCAAAGCTACGGACAAAGCAGGAACTTTTGCATAGCTAGTGCCTCTTATCAGCACAGACTTTGTAACGGATCGGGTTAGAATAGCAACTTGCAGGCCATCTGCGTCAGGCTCTGGTGATGCTTTGAAGTGGGATGAGAAATAAATGTGAGATATTACATGGGTGGAGCATGATGGGTCACCTGTTCTCCTTGTGTTCTCCCTGTTCAGAGCAGGGACATGCGGGCTGTCAGGTGCTTTAATAGATATCTTTACGACGTGCTTTTGTGTAGTTTTCTTCTGGGTGATTTCTCCTGAGTTGTGATATGTTAGGAGCCCCCAAAAACGTGCTTGACCGTCTTCGCCAGCCCTCTGAGTATTTGCATTGTGCTCCAGCCTTCAGCGACCCCGCTGTGCGCACGGATCCGCCCTGAGTGCTCCCTGGGACAGATCTTCCTTTAAACCTGAGCCGTGGTGCCGCGGTCCCTGCGGGGAGCCCGAGCCATTTAAAGTGCATACCTCAACGCGGGGCCGCGGACGGGAAAATAAACACCTTGGTCTGCTTATACCAGCAGCGCCCCCCCCCCCCCGCTGGGATAACCTCCTGTGTTCCAGTGGGTCTGGTGTTGTTTCACCACCAGCGCTGCTCCCAGCTCAGAAGCCCTCACTTGCAAACAGAAACGTATGGTTTGCGTTTGAGGGTAAACATATATTCTCTTTGTTTTTCTTGAAAGGAGAAAAGACTGGGTTGTGAGATGGTGTAAAAAGTTGTACGACCTTCCTTTTTCATGACAGGCACCCAATCAGACTCTTACCTAATAAAATTGAGTAGAAAAACTAAACAAAAGATTCTCTAAAATAATCTGATAATTGTGACTTTTTGCATGATATTGAACAAAAACTGGATGACTGAAATTTAGGTTATTTTGCTTAGTGTGCAATAAATCTAGGAGAAAAAAAAGGTACCAAAAGTAGAAATAAGTTCATCTTAAGCAGTTATGTTGAAAAAAATTGTATTGTATTGTAACTGGACCCAAAAGCCACAAGCTTTAATAAATCCCTCCTCTATCCATCCTCCCACTCTTATGTAAAAAAAGAAAAGAAAAGAAAGAAAGCTTGTATAATTTAAACAGTTTTTCCTCATATTATAGTCTCCCTCTCCTGTAGTATTATGTTACACCCATCTTCACCCAATCACAACACTCCCCAAAATCCTCCTGCCCGCTCTCTGCTATAAGAGCTCGGGTCGTCCCAGTCTGGCAGACACCTCTCCATCTCCGTGGCGCACGAGATTTCGTAACAGGGCGCAAGTCCACACCCCAGAGCAGGCCCCTATAGTTTTCCCCTTCAGGAACCCCTTTCGTGTTTGTTGGCGTCGCGAGCACGTCGGTGGATTGGGTCTGCGGGGGGGGTTACGTCGGTCCACAAAGGCCACCGTGAGGTTTCTCTCTCTCTCTCTAAAAAACGATGCGGGAGAACGACCCCTCGCCCATGGACAGCGCCGGCAACAGCGAGGAGGAGACCGAGCGCCAGCTGCCTCGGAGAGGAGCGAGGAAGAGGCGCACCGCCCGGAGGAGCACGGACGAAGAGGAAGAGGAGGGAGACGCGGAGAGCCCCGGGCCCGAGAAGAAGAGACGCAGGCAGAGCTGCGACGGCGGAGGTGGAGGAGGAGGAGGAGGAGGAGGAGGAGGCAGCGAGGCCAGCGGCGGCAGCAGCCCCGCGCAGTCCTTCGACGACCTGCAGACGCAGCGCGTCATGGCCAACATCCGCGAGAGGCAGCGGACGCAGTCCCTCAACGAGGCGTTCACGTCCCTGCGCAAGATCATCCCCACCCTCCCGTCGGACAAGCTCAGCAAGATCCAGACGCTGAAGCTGGCCGCCCGGTACATCGACTTCCTGTGCCAAGTCCTGCAGAGCGACGAGCTGGACGCGCGGGGAGCCAGCTGCAGCTACGTGGCGCACGAGCGCCTCAGCTACGCGTTCTCCGTCTGGAGGATGGGGGGCGCGTGGTCCCTGTCCACCACATCCCACTAGCCGGGGCTCGCGTCCCCGGGGGATGTGACCGTGAGGTAAGAGGAGACACCTTTTGCTTTTGGTCCTAGAACAGGACGTCTGCCCCGTGCGCATTTACGCTCCCTGCGCACTGAGCCAAAGCATAGTTTCTCTTCCATTTTCTTATTTTTACGGTAATATTTTGAAGGCAAGCTGTCAGCATTACTTGACTTGTATGTGGTTGAAAGGACACGAATGTAAAAAAAACTATTTTATTTGAAAAATGATATGTTCTCCCTCACATAAAAACTCACTTAACTGCACAGAAATGACTTTTCTTCTGAGAGGAATGTTTTATGCTCACTGTACTTGAGGTCATGAGTGTTTGATACATTTCTCTTAACCTAAGGTGCAGCAAAATGTTTTGGAACTATTTGAATATCATTAATAAAAGTAATGTCTTTCACAGATAATCCAGACTGAAGAACCAGTGGATAAGGCCAGTCCTTCCAACAGGCTAAAAAGAGTCTAAGCTGATGTGCTTCAGGCCTCAGAGGAATGCAGCCTTTTCATATTTCCCTTTTGCAAGGACTGTGATGTTTGCAAGGGAGCACTTAAGACAGACAGGACGGATATGAAGGAAAAGAGAGACCACTGCGACTATGAATGTTGTAAAAAACAAACAGACTCTGACAAACTACTCTGTTTTGAAACATGAGAGGAGATCGACAATCCACTCCACATTCCCTGTGACAGTGTTTCACAGAAAATGAAGCCTTTTGTATTTATTTTTCTATACAGGTATGAAATTCCTATCCCTACATCTCAAATAAAAGTTATTTATTTTTGGGGAAATCTCAGAATGCTGAATGGATCCAGACTTTGAGTATTTTGTGTCTTGTAAATATTTGCTATCATGTTGAATAAAAAACAAACAAATGAAGGTATCTATCCTTTCTCTCGATTATCTGGACATTCATTTCAGCTTTTAGTAGAAGGGTGCTTCAAAAGAAAGTAGAATTACATGACTGTCAGCTGAAGTTTTGAATAGTTAATTACTTAACATTTGTTGTTGTTATTTTAAACAAAATTCTCATGGTTTCAATACTTTGAAGCAATGTAAAGTTTATTTTCATGGGTTTTTGGTGAATCCCCTGTTAACTAAGCCAGAGTGGGGGCGGGCAAAAGAAAACACCTCACCCCACTGGCCTAGTCTGTAGTGATTTCATGAGCTTGGGGATCTGGGAAAGCCATAATTAGCTGGTGGTCTGTTTGAACGCGGTGAATTTGGAGCTGGTGGAAGCATGTGTGATATTCCCAGATGTCCTTCCAGCCACAGGTCAGCGTGTGAGCTGCCTGCAGGTGCGAGCGCAACTAAATCTCAAGAGTTTTGACCGATAAATAATGACTATACAGTCATAGTGGAACCTGGATTGATCATGCAGTTGTACATTTGCATATGGGGAAAAGGAAGATATCATGCACACGAAGACACGCTAAACACAAAGGGTCTTCTAAAAAGATCAATAATTGGACAGCAATCTCAAGATTTAAATAATCAAACATCGATACAGTTGCTGGATAAAAGCCTTTGTTGTTACTTTATTCTTTCAAAAGCATTTTCCAAGTGATTTCTTTGCTGTTTAATTTGAGTTGAAATAGCTTTCTGCCCATGGACCAGACTGATGAACCTGTGGAAAATCCAAATGTCTAAAAGATTTCAACCCTTGCCTTAAAGAAAAAAAAACACAAAACTCAACACTTGGACTGGAATGAGGTCTGGAGTTTTATCTTCTGAAAACAGGAGTCTTGAATTTGTGCATAAAGGCCAATATTTTACATAAAACAACAGATAAATAAAACTGGGAATAAGTGCCCACAGAAGTCTTGGTTCGAGCCATGAAAGATGAAAATCTCCCTACAGGGAGTTGCATCTCTCAAAGGTGCTGTTAGGGGATGATTATGGGAGCATTACTCTGTTTTTGCATCGTAGGTTGCGTGCGGAAGGTAAAGCCATCAGCTCTGACCTGAAACCCCCGCCGGCCAGCGGGGGGAATCGATTCCCACCCTGAGATCACCGTGGCCGTGTTATCTTAAACTTGAGGCTGTTGCTCTGACAGGGAGGAATGTCACCTTTGAGGCTTCAAGACACACACACACATACACACACATATAGGTTATGCACACACACGGGGAGATTTCTCACGCCTATGAAACAGGGAAATACATTCCACACGGAGGGAGAGAAAGAGGGGGAAGAGGACTCCTGCGATTCAGCTCCTGCCCCACTTTGATGTTGGAAAGTAATGGGATGACCGCTTGTTATCAGTGCGAAGGCATCTGGCTCTCCAGTTTTAAGTGTGCTATGATTTATAGACTCTTTGATGACTGACACACACTCAAACACACTCTCACCCGCTCATTAATCATGCTTTATATCTCACTGCTTTTTTGGGATTGCAGCACTTAAACTGATCCAAGCCAAAGGTACAGGACTTTGTATATTCTAATAATGCCAAGAGCTATAAATCCCACTCGAAATGGATTTCCGACTATTATGCACTGAAAAGAAGTCTGAGTCGAGGTTTGTTTGGTTGTTTAAACACTCTAGCAGAAGTCTACCTGTCTCTTTTTTTACCTCTCCCAGAAATGCATCTCCCTTACCAATCTTTTTCTCTGAAGTTTCCCATTACGGAGCAGAAAAACCCTGGTTTACATTAACCCTCAACACCACAAAAAGACCAGGGGGTAGAGGAAGTCAGGCTGAGACAGACAGGGGGGAGAGGGAGACTTGATTTGCAAGTCTGGTTTCTATTAGAGCTAATTATCTGTGTTTCATCTCAACCTGAAGCAGCTAGTGTGTGTGTGTATAAGTGTACGTATGCATGCGTGCCCTTTAGTTTTGTTTTACTTGCGAAATGTGACTTTTACCTAAACAGCACAAGTCAAACTAATCATACCTGAGGCCCTTCTGTTAGCTGAGACGAAACTCTTCTTTGTACATCACTTGGAGCCTCCATCTCTGCATGTCCATGGTGGAGTAAACTGGCCTCAGCACAGCACCAATATTAATCCAATTTTATGTAAATGTATGTAGTTGTATTCAATATGTGGTTTAGGAGTTTGGGGCCTTTAAAAAAAAAATCATCAACTCAGTGAACTTCTACTTTTCCTTGATATGTCACAAGAATCCCAGCATTTGACCATGATATCCAAGTCTCAGGACCCTTGGTACTGAAGGTTGGACATGTTGGAGACAGAAAGATCTGGATGAAGATGCTAACAATGACTTTGTTTAATGATCCATTCAATTAAAATCCCAGCAGATATGTCTCATTATTGTACCTTTCAGTTCAAGCACTAAAACCCCCATCTCTACCTAAAGCCAATTTAGATCAAGTATTGGTTTCGATCCATGTTTGTTGGCTGTTTGGGGACCCTTACCACCTTGAAAAAACCTTCACAAACACAAAGAGATTATTAAAAAAAAGAAAAAAACACAAAAAGAAATCAACCAAGATTCCATTCACGGAACTTTCCTGCTGTTTAATAAAACCACAGGATCAAATTAACTGGATATCAGCATCCAAAAACAAAACAAAAATGGAAAAGGACAACTAACCATCAGGAATGTTACATATAAAAAAGAGAATAAATGAATGGGAACGTCTGGGTCTGCGTGGTGGTTAGCAGGAATAGAGCACCTGGCCTGAATCTCAGCTGGAACTGCTCTGTGTGGATGTGTGCGTTCTCTCCTCCTACTACTCCTTCCACATCACAGAAAACGCATGGATATTTGTATCTGGATAAAGTAGGTTATTTACTTTTGTGTAAAAAAAATCACTGTAGACAGGCTGAGCACAGAGAGGAGTCGGCAAGCCTTATGGCTCAGTAGGCCATACCAATAAATATGACTCATAACAGCCTTGTGAAAAATGCCCCTCTCAGAAGCTGCAGGAGGGATTGTGAAACTGAAATAAGCATTTCAGTACCGGTACAGACGCAGCTATCTGTATATTAAATCATCATATCATGGAAGGAAATTGCTGGTTGGCCGCGTGTGGAAAGCTGTTTTAACCTGATGCGTTCAAGTGACTGCAGATCGAGGTCAACAGTACTAACTGTATCACCTAGGAGAAGAAATATATTTTGTTTACTTAAGAAAACAATCCTGATTAAGCTTAAAAAATAAATCTTTATTTTTTTAAGACAGCATAGCCGTCAAATCCGTCCAAACTGTCTCATGAAGTTTAATTTCATGTCATGCTAGCTGCCTGATGGTGTGTTTAGACTTCAGTTTGGCCATTTATTGGATTGCTGTCACTCTAGTAGACATGTGCTGTGGCAAAATAAAGTATGGACTTTGTGAGAAAGCATTCGATCTTCCACTTCTGACTTTCTGAGGGGGATCAACGTTTCACTGCACAGACAGCGGTAAGTTATTTGAAAGATGATTTTGATGATCTGTGTCCACATAAAGACTAATTCAAATTCCAACTGTGTCGGCTCAACTTTGAGGAACTCGGTGTTGTCTGAATTCTGTGGGACTAACATGTGTCCGTAAACTCTGTAAGTCCGGTTGTGGTGGGATCGACACAATAATTTGATTTATTCTAGGGTTACGCAAACACAATCACCGTTTTTGCTGTTTTCTTGCCGTGAGTCGTAAGTGTGAAGGCAGCATTTGTAACAATGCAGGAGTCAATGCCAAACCACATTTTGTCTGCATCACAAAAGCACGATCAACTGAAAGACGTCTGATGCTAAAACTCATCTACCAACAGCACAGACCTGCCATATTTGCAAAATATTCAGGAAACTACACAAAAAGTGCAGTAAAAGAGCCGGCCACTGTTGCTTACACCAGAATTAATGCGTTAAAGAAAATATATTCATCTTTACTTTCAGGAAAATATAGGAATTGATCATTGCAAATAAGCTGCACCCAGAATTTACAATGAGAGAGCCTTAGAATGGATGCATTGACATTTAAGGGCCACCTTCCCAGTCGGCCCGGCAGCAAACTATAATGAGGCAAAATAATTAGCATTTGCTTGCATTCGTCCCCTGAGGTCGGTGCCAACTGCAGCCATCAGTCTTAACCTGCGACCCCTCAGACTGACCCTCTCCCCAGAATCCAGTGACCCCCACCTGGGCCACAAGCCAGCACATTCACCTCCACAAAATGCCCACTCTGTCTCAGAAAATGTGAAAGACGCATGTGGAGAGAAGAGAGAAGGTACACGGATGGTGGTTGAAAGCTAAAATGCGAAGAAGCTGATGAGGCAGAAGAAAATTCAAGCGAGAAGGGAACAAACTTATATGAATCCTCTGAGCTCTCTTGCCCTTGGCTGTTTATCTTGTAGATTGAGTTAAACACAAGCCCCTCATAACTCTCTGCATTCCAGACAATATCACAGTGGCCCCGCTTTAAAAATATAAACATAGGCATATTATCAAAGACCTGCAGAGCTCAATCAAACACATAGGCTCTTTCTCCTAACTTAATTTACTCCACCTTAAACAAAGTGCCTTTATTGGATTTAAGCTGTCTAAATGTTTAATTTTGACTGAAAACCTTTAGGTCTCGTGATTAAAGTTAAAGAGGTTTTGTCATTTTCTCTCATATAACCTCGGTGGTTTCTTATCCCAGGCAGATCTACAGACATGGAAAAGCCTCAGGTCACGAACAACACCATGTCTGCTATTTCCAGAAAAGAGGGGACTTTGTTAGCTTTAACACAGACCCATTCACAGAGATGGAAATGCGACTGTCAGTTGGGGAAACGTGCATTTCCTTTTTGTGTCGACATGACGAAAGATTGCACCGACTGAACTCGCGTTAACGCGGATTTGCTTGAAACTCAGACACGGATAGACACGTAAAAAACATTGCATCATCTTAGATTATATAAGGCTCGGAGCTATTTCTCTGCTGGACACAAAAAGCAGAGCACAACCGTAGTTTACTGGCGTTCGGGGGGCCCCTGTCGTGAGTGGGCGCGCACAAACACACATGCACACAAGGGCGGAG